GTTAGGATCCATGATGCGAGAGGTGGAGTCCAGAGGATCCACAGCTGGATAGATACCCAGCTCAGCAATAGCACGAGACAGCACGGTAGTAGCATCCAAATGGGCAAAAGTAGTAGCTGGGGCAGGGTCAGTCAAGTCATCAGCAGGGACGTAGATAGCCTAAAGTGAGTCAAGAAACCATGAAATGCAGCAAAAATCAAAGTATTCTATTGAAGCCATTCTCTGTCCTTTTTCATCTTACTTTGCCTTCTGAGCATTAAAACTTCATCTTCGCGGGGGCTGGTGAGATGGCTCAGTGGTCTAAAGCACCTATTTAGAACAAGCTTAGCAAAGCACAGGGACCGCGGTTCAATCCTCCAGCACCACATGCCAGCCAGCCCCGCCCCCTGGTGGGCTGAGCTGGCCACACACACAAATGAAATAAATAAATAAAAAATTAAAAAAAAAAAAACAAAAAAAAACTTCATCTTCGCAAGTGTGGTGACACACACCTGTAATCCTAGCACTCAAAGGCTGAGACAATAGGATCACTATGAGTTTGGGCCAGCCTGAACAACATAGTAAAACCCTGTCTCAAGAAAAAAACAACTTAAAGCTGGGTACAGTACAGTGATACACACCTATAATCCCAGTACTCTGGGAAGCTAAGGCAGAAGTCACAAGTTTGAGCTTCACCTGGGCAATTGACTCCGTATCTCAAAGGGTCTCCAAAGAGCTTCTTACTATCCTAATCCTTGTCAAATGAGCTACGTGAGCCTTCTAAGTCATGACAGAAGAATTCTCATTGCCATTCTTTCTGTTCTTCCTTCATTCTACACTTTTAACTATGGTAATTACTGTAACTACGCCATTAACTTTTAGAGTTAGAAACAAGAACGAGCCAGGCATGGTAGAACATGCCTGCAACCACAGGTACTTCAGAAGCTGAGGCAGGAGGATCACAGATTCAAGGTCAGCCTGGCTAACTTTTTGCTAGGTCTTTTTGAAACAAGAGTTTCAATTCAACATGTAGTTCAGGCTGGCCTAAAGCGCACTTTGTAGCCCAGGCTGGTGGTGAACTTGCAATGATCCTACTGCCTCAGTCTCCCAAGGGCTGGGATTACAGGTATGAACCACCACACTCAGCTAGCCTAGCTAACTTAACCAGACTCTTATCTCCAAAAAAAGGGAGTGGGGTGGGAACATAGCAAGACATAAATTCAATCCCCAGTATCACAGCAAATATTTAATCAATTATTATACTTTCCTATACCTCCACAGAAGACAGTCGTGCTACATAGTTTAGGCTGGCTCTGAACTCACAGGATCCTCTAGCCTTAGCCTCCCCCAAGTGCTGATTATTGGTGTGCCACCAGGTCTGGCTCAATTACTTTAAATGACCCACACACAAACCCTACAAAAGCCCTGAGATGTAAGTAATGAGGTTTTATGTTTCTATATATGGCTTTTAATGTAATTTAAACGTTCGATTTGTTTTCCTTACTTGTACAGAGGTGATAGATCCTTTCTTGGTGGTGGTGATTCTTTCTTGCATAGTACCCATGTCAGTTGCTAGGGTTGGCTGATAGCCTACAGCAGAAGGAATTCTGCCCAGTAAGGCAGACACCTACAAGAAAAAGTATGAACGAAGATCTAAGTGTCTACATCTCTGGCCTACTTTTTGCATAATTCCACGAAAAGATCTGATTAATCAGGTCCTCTAAAGATTTCCCTTACCTCTGAGCCAGCCTGGGTGAAGCGAAAGATGTTATCGATAAACAGCAGTACATCTTGACCTTCTTGGTCTCTAAAATATTCGGCCACAGTCAGCCCAGTCAGGGCTACCCGGGCACGGGCACCAGGTGGTTCATTCATTTGACCATATACCAATGCTACCTGTAATAATCAGACCTTATCAGAAAAGCCACATACCCTAGATCCACAATTAGAAAAAAACCACCACAAGTTCTCGTTCTCAGCAGTTACCCACGTTTCTGTTTATAACATACAGGCTTGGGGCCCGGGAGATGGCTCAGTGGAATAAGCACTTTCCTGGCAAGCACAAGGGCCTGAGTTCATTCAATCCCCGGTTCTGCCACAAAAAACAAAAACAAAAACAAAAAAAAACCAAACCAAACAACAAAAATAAAAAAAAAAAATGCAGGGTTGGGAGTATATGCTCTCTCAGTGCGAGAGCATGTACCTAGCATGTATAAGGCCCTGAACTCAAATTTCCAGCAATATACCTCCCAACAAAAACCTACTAAAAGTGCTTGCCTTGTAAGCACAAAGGCCTGAGTTTAATCCCCCGTTCTGCAAAAAAAAACCCAAATGAACAAAACAAAAAAAAACACCAAAAAACAGAATATACAATATCTTTTTGTTGTTGTTGAACCAGTGATTGAACTCAGGCCCTTATTGAGCTATCTCCCCGATCCCCTACAATTTCTTACATCAGTAAGACAAAATTCCTGAAGTAGGATGAGGATTTTTTTTTGGGCTGGCTCAGCCTGCCTTAAGGGTGGGTCTAGTAAGACAGGTGGAGGTGGGGTTCGAACCTCAGTATCTTGACAACTAAGCTAACTGGCAGGCCCCCACTGAAGTAGGATGGAAACAAATACATGTGGAAGTGAAAGAGACAAAATGGCTATCTGAGACATTGGTATCTGAGAAACATCAAGCACCAGCAATCCTCCAAGTTAGCTTTCAAGCGACAGGACGACCTACCCACCCACCAAGGCTAAGGTAATAATAGCTCAGTGGTAGACTGCTGGCCTAGTAATGCAAAGACCTGTGTTCAATCCTCAGAATAGCATAAAAAATCTAAAACTTCTCTAAGAGGAAAGACAATGTGTATTAAAGAAAGTTAAGAGAAAAATACTAACAGTAATTTCTTTGTAGGCCCTAGCCTAGGAGACTCAAATGAAGATACAGAACAGTTTCAACTGTCAGTAGTTTTCTAGCATAACTATTTTGTGAAAATCAGTCAGCTCAGTGGTTCATTACCTTTGAGGTAGCATCTTTTAAATTGATTACACCAGATTCAATCATTTCATGATATAAATCATTGCCTTCTCGGGTCCTCTCACCGACACCAGCAAACACGGAGTAACCACCATGGGCTTTGGCAACATTGTTGATTAACTCCATGATCAACACGGTCTTGCCAACTCCAGCACCACCAAACAGCCCTAGGAAAGATCAACAAATATTGAGGAATGCTACATTCTCATATTAAAAACACACTTCAACACACTATTGCTTCTTTCCATCTTTTCCCTTCTCAGGAAGAGCATCTGGCTTCAGCAAACTCAGAAGAACGAAAGTCAGAAACTGTTCATCAATGAGGGACAGATACTCAACACCCACCTACATCCTGTTTTGTTTTTTTTTTTCCTCTCTCCCATATTACATTTGGAAGTATGTACCCAACACCAACATACCAATTTTGCCACCTTTGGCATAGGGAGCTAGCAGATCCACAACCTTGATCCCAGTCACCAGAATTTCCTGCTCAACCCTCATCTCTATGAACTCAGGATCCTCAGCATGAATAGGAGCAAATCTGTAAGGGAGAGAAAAGGCAATCAGTACCTACTTATCTTATTGAAAGCAAATCTTTCTAAACAGTCTTAAAGATCCTTATCAATTCTTAGGATCAATACTGAGAATCCAGTGTATATTTTAGCATCTATCTTAACTTTCCCCAACAGACTTCATTATCTCAGGAACCAATACTACTCCCTTACAGCTTTAAAAAGCCTATTTTGGGGGCCGGGGAAATGGCTCAGTGGAATAAACGTTTCCCTGGCAAGCGCAAGGGCCTGAGTTCAATCCCCGGTTCCGCAAAAAAACAAACAAACAAACAAACAAACAAACAAACAAAATCCTATGTTTTTTCTTTTATCAATTCCTAACCAAACAACATTCTTTAACATACTAATGGAGGAAGGGAATGAAAGTTTTAGAGAATCTTTAACCTAAGCCATAAATCTAAGTCTTTGAAAATAATCAACTGGGATCCTAAAAAGAACCAGATTTTTGTGTTTGATACATGGTACCAAAAAAAAAAAAAAAAAAAGTACCAGGTTTTCAACAATTAGAACCTCTGGGCTGGTCAGGCTTGGTGGTACACACCTGTAACTCTAGCACTTGGGAGGCTGAAGCAGAAGATACAAAGTAAATACAAGGCCAGCCTGGACTGACTGACTGCACAGTGAAATTCTGTCTCAAAATAAAAAGACAACAAAAGAGAACCTTTGGACTGGGCATGGTTGCACACTCAGGAGTACATGGCAAAAATATCACTATGAATTCAAGGGCAGTCTAACTTACAGTGAGACTTTGTCCCATAGACAAAGTCTCAAAACACAAAATTAAAAAACCAAAATTAAAAAACCAAAGCAAAACAAAAGAACATATCCAAAAAACAAAAAACACCCACCCTGGGAACTTCTGCATTCTTCATTTCTTCAGGAAAAAAATGCACTGTGTGATTTCAAAAACTGAAACTAGCATGTTATAAATAACATATAGGAAAACTGTTGATAAGTTATCACCGTGGTATGTCTAACTGCAAGAAAAAGTAGTTCCTACCAGGCACAGCAGTACACGCCTGTGATGGTAGCTACTCAGGAGGCTAGGGCAGGAGGATGGCAAGTTCAAACCCAGCCTGGAAAACCTTGGTGAATTCCTGTCTTAAAGTTTTTAGGGGTCTGCCCCTTAGCTCAGTTCTTTAAGTGGCTGCTTCAACAAAGCAGTCAGGCTCAGGCGGCTGTGGTTCAATACCCACAACTCAAGTCAAACCTGCCTGAAGGCATTCCGAGAAAAAAAAAAAATTAGTTTTTAAGGGACTAGGATGTAGCTCATTGATATAGAGGACTTGCCTGTGTGTTTGTGAAAACCCAGGTAAATCCCCAGGACCACCAAAAAAAA